CTAACGCAAGGCAAGATCAGGAGGATCTGACAGGTTAAGCCAGTCCTAGCAAAAGGTTTGAGAGACCCCCATCTCAACCTATAGCTGCATGTGGTAGTACACACTTGCCATCCCATGAATAGAAGGAGCCCAGCACAGACAAGACTGGTTATAATGCAAGAGCCCATTTGAAAACTCAAACAAAAAGGAACCTTAGCTGTTTTGCTCAAGGCTAGCACTCTACTACTTTGAGCCACAACTCCACTTCTGGTGTTCTGGCAGTTAATTGGAGATGAGTCTCATGCACATTCCTGCCCAGGTTGTCTTTGAGCCATGATCCTCATATCTCAGCCTCTTGAGTAGCTAGGATTACAGGTGTAAGTCACTTGAGCCTTAATCATTGTTTTAAGGAACAAATATCTGAGGATCTGCCATTACGCAAGGCTCCTTCTCCCACAGGAATACACAGGAGCTTGAAGGTTGTGTTCCTGAAATAGAAACATCTATAGCTCTCTTTAATGTTGATTATAATGTTTGGAAGGAACACTTGCTTGGTACTGGGGCTTGAACATAGAAGCCTCATACTTACATGCTCACGGATACACCCTGCCAATTAAGCCACAATTCATCCAGTCCATCACTTTGCTGGTTGATTATAGAGAGAATCTCACAGACTTTTCTTCCCTGGTTGGCTCTGAACTGCAATCCTCAGATCTCAGACTCACGAAGTGCTCTATTTACAGTTGTGATCTACTGGCAAACAACTTGAAAAATTTTAACCAGTCTCAGAGTGTTGTCTCCTAAATTAATAGTTTTTTTTACCCTATTCCCAACATTTTATTTTATTTTTTTATTGTGAAAATACTGTACAGAGGGGTTATAATTTACATGTGCAAGATAATGAGTACATTTCTTATCAAGCATTGTAGCCTCCTCTTTTATTTCCCCTTTCTCTCCCCCCTTTCTCTTCCCAGTCCTCTCCCCACTCCACCAAAGTTGTAAAGTTTGTTTTCGACATAACAACTTATACATCTCATTGTTGCAATGGGTCCACCTGTATCCCTGTTTAAACGATTTGTTTTTTCCCTTCCCCTCCACAAATTATACCGGCATCAAATACAGTGAAAGCAGAGGTTATACTGTGGGGGAGGGACATACAAAGCAACAAAGAAATAATCTTATAAATGTGTTAGGAACAATCGCATCAAAGAAAAAAACATTTGAATACATATCTTAGGGTTCATTTCCCTAACATCGACTTATCTGACCTTTCCTGCTTGACTCAGACATATACTAGTTATTGCAAATAAGGGAAACCATGGGACCTATGTTCTTTGGGCCTGGCTTACTTCACTTAATATAATTTGTTCCAAGTCCTTCCATTTCTAACAAATGGGGCGATGTCATTCTTTCTAATGGAGGCATAGAATTACATTGTGTATATATACCACATTTTTTTGATCCATTCATCTACTGAGGGGCATCTGGGTTGGTTCTATATCTTAGGTATGGTAAATAATGCTGCAATAAACATAGTCGTGTTGGTAGCTTTAGTGTGGTCTTATTTTTGAACATTTGGGTAAATGCCCCAAAGTGGGATTGCTGGGTCATAGGGGAGTTCTATGTGTAGTCTTTTGAGGAACCTCCATACTGCTTTCCAATGTGGTTGAACAAGTTTACACTCCCACCAGCAAAGCAGTAAGATTCCCTTCTCTCCACATTCCCTCCAGCATCTGTTGTTATTAGAGTTCTTGATTATAGTCATTCTAACTGGGGTGAGGTGGTATCTCAATGTTGTTTTGATTTGCATTTCTTTTATGGCTAGGGAGGTTGAGCATTTCTTTATGTGTCTATTGGCCATCCTTCTTTCCTCTTCAGAGAAGTTTCTCTTTAAGTCTTTAGCTCACCTATTTATTGGGCAGTTGTTTCTTTGAGAGTTTGTTGTTGGGGGATTTAATTTTTGAGTTCCAGGTATATTTTAGATATGAGACCCTTGTTCGTTTTATGGTTAGTGATATTCTCCCAATCTGTGGGCTTTCTATTGATCTTGCTAGCTATGTCCTTTGCCATGCAGAAGCTCTGCAATTTCATGCAATCCCATTTGTCCAACCTTTCTTTGATTTCTTTTGTTTCTGGGTCTCTATTAAGAAAATTTAGCACAATAAAAAAAAAAAAGAAAATTTAGGCCTGTGCCAAGGAGACCTAGGGTTTCTCCTATTCCATCCTGAAATGCTTTCAGAGTGTCTGCTTTGACTTTGAGGTCTTTGACCCATTTGGAGTTGGTTCTGGTGCAGGGTGATATAGAAGGATCTAGCTTTAGTTTTCTACAAGTGATTAACCAATTTTCCCAGCACCATTTACTGAAGAGGCTGTCTTTCTTCCATTCTAATTTTTTAGCTCCCTTATCGAAGATTAGATGGCTATATGTCTGTGGGTTCGTTTCTGGGTTTTCAATTCTATTCCATTGGTCCTGAGGTCTGTTCTTGTGCCAGTACCAAGCTATTTTGCTTACTATGGCTTTATAGTAGAGTTTGAAATTTGGTATTGATATTCCTCCAGCACTGTTCTTTCTGTTAAGGATCGTTTTTGCTATTTGGGGTCTTTTATTGTTCCATATGAATTTTTGGATTGGCTCTTCTATTTTCTTGAAGAATGAGGTTGGAATTTTGATAGGTATCACATTGAATTTGTAGATAGCCTTGGGAAGTATGGCCATTTCATGATGTTGATCCTTCCAATCCAGGAACATGGGAGGTTTTGCCACTTTCTAAGTTCTGTTTTGATTTCCTTTTTTAGGTTTTTAAAGTTTTCATCATAGAGGTCCTTCACTTCTTTGTTTAAGTTAATTCCTAGGTATTTTATTTTTTGTGGAGCTATTATGAATGGAGTTGCTTTCCTGATTTCAGCTGCGCTTTTCTCATTGTTGGCATACAGAAAAACCATTGATTTTTGAGGGTTAATTTTATACCCTGCTACTTTGCCAAAGTTTTGAATCAGCTTGAGTAATTTGGGAGTGGAGTCTGGGATTCTTTAAACAAGATCATGTCATCTGTAAAGATGGAGAGTTTTATTCTTCTTTCCCTATTTGGATCCCCTTTATGTTTGCATTTTGTCTTATTGCTGAAGCTAGGCATTCTAATACTAGATTGAAGAGAAGTGGAGAGAGTGGACATTCTTGTCTTGTTCCTAAGTTGAGGAAATTTCCCAGCATTTTATTACACCTAACTTTTGCTCGGAGCTCTAGATGTACAGTTGCAGTATGTAAATGATATTTTACTTGGGTTTATAGGATCTCTGAAATTGAATTAGAGTTAGTGTTAAGATACCACTTCTTTCATTCACTTTTCTCCATCTGTGGCCTGGTATCTGCCCTGTCTTACAATTTTGCAGGATTTGCAACCCTCAGGAAGTTCTAGCAGGCTACACCTTGAGAAGAGGGACCTGGCCAGCACAGGCACAACCTGCTGGTGTGTGGGGATGTCTTCTCATCTGAGAACAATACTCAGATGGAAAAGGAGAATCAACACATACCATGAAGGAATGTGTGTCTTCAGGCTCCGTCAGGTTGTCTGGCCTCCGTCTCTGGTCTAGGGTATCCACAGGTCAGGACCTCTTGGATCGGGCCCTATGAAGGAAGAGGCTAGGAGAGCAAGGGTGGGAGGGTAGGTAGCTCCTGTGGTGGCCAAATTATACCTCTACCTCTGTTTTTGTTGTTGTTGTTGTTTTGGTTTTTATTTTTGGTCGGTTGTGGGGCCTGAACTCTGGGCCTGGGCGCTGTCCCTCAGCTCTTTAGCTCAAGGCTAGCGCTCTACCACTTGAGCCACAGCGCCACTTCTAGTGTTTTCTGTTTATGTGGTGCTGAGGAATTGAACCCAGGGCTTTATGCATGTGAGGCAAATACTTTACCACTGAGCTACCTTCCCAACCCCATCTACCTCTGTTCACACAGGTTAGTGGCCAACCTACTAGGCATTTCAGTGCAGATCTGCTCTAAGTTGATTCACAGACTTTGATGGGAGGCTTACACCACCAGAAGAAGGTTGTACTTGCAGTTTTAGCAGACCCAAGTGAAAGGCACACTTAGGAACCTGCACTCTCATCCAGCTGCTCACAGAGCCTTTTTGCTTCCCCCTGGTTAGTCTAGAACTAAACAGGTAGGATTAAAATTCATCTTCACACTCAGTCTCAAAAAGTTGAGAGCTTCAAAGATTGAGAGAGAGAGAGAGAAAGAGAGAGCTACACAGAGTGAGACAGAGATAGAGAGGAGGAGGGGAAGAGAGAGACAGAGACAGACAGAGATAGTGAGACAGAGACAGTATAATCCACTGACCAGAGCGTGGTGGGCTGCCTTGTCTTTTAGGAGGTTTAACCAGATGAAAAGGTAAAGGAGCCAAAACAAAGGAATGGGACACAAGCCCCAAAGAAGTTTATTCTAAAAGCTAAAAGAGCAAAACTTCTCTGAGGAGAAGAGGCTCCAGGGCCTGGTGACCATTGGTGTGAAGACATTGGTCCCCCTTCTTCCCTGTGGCCCTCCCCCGCTCATTCCCTGTGCAGAACCCTGCCTCCCCTGACAGTTGACAGTTACTGGATGGACCAGGGCCTCCATCTTTCCCACAGCTACTCAGGCACTTCTAAATCTCGCCTAATAGGGAAGTGGAGAGATTTTAAAGAAGGAGATGATGGAACACCTCAGGGCTTCAAATAACTGCAGAGCACCAGGTTAGACTCTGAGAACTAGTCAACAGTGAAAGAGAATGTGTCGTGTGCTGCCTGTGGTCATCCGATGGACACTGGTGGCTCACACCTGTAATTCTAGATGGCTGAGAGCTGAGGATCTTGGTTTAAAGTCATTCCAGGCAGAAAACTGAGATTCTTACCTCAAATGACCAGCAGAAAACTGCAAGTGGAACTGTAGCTCAAGTGGTAAGAGTGCCAGCCTAAGGGCCAGTGCCAAGTCAGTGGGAATTTGGGAGAGAAATGTTAATTTACTCTAAAATTATTTTTATTTCATACAAGCAAAGGACAGCTTCCTCCTAAGTGTGGGATGGATTATGGAATGATGAATGGACCACAAAATGGATTCATTGAACTCCTAAGAGAGTGAAAGCCCTGGACTGTGAGCAGTGAGCACAGAAGAAATGAGAACATTCCTTGTCCCCTCTCTACCCCAGATGTCCCCACTAAAATCGACCCAAGTAACTTCTGGATTTTCTGAGGTAATTCTCTTTTAAACTTTTTTTCTTGTACTGAGGGGTTATTACATTCACCAGGTAATGTGTACATGTTTTCTTGGACAATGCCAGACTTCTCTGGCTGTCTCCCAGTTTTTTCCTCCCAGTCCCACTAGTTCATTTTCAACATGGTATGTTTGGATGAGAGGCTGTGGGAAGTCATTAATCTCACAGTTGGACCACAGTAAGCCTGGGTAGGTGGTGGTGGCCAAATCATGGAAGTCCTTAAAGATCTGGTTTGGAGTTGTACCAGATATTCTAGACCATTAAAGATGCACTGAGAGCTTTTCAGGGAGCCAGGGTCCCAGCCCATTGATGGAGATTGCTGAAACCCTAAAGTAGGGAAACAGAAGTAGGAAGACTGAGTAAAAGACTGGGGCCTAGCCCTCATGGACCCCACCCCTCAGAGTGGACAAGGACATCGATGACACTTCAATAACAACACCTATTTAGCTGGTAAAATTTAGACCATGAGATGATGGACAGCAGTAGAAGCAGATAGGCAACTGTTGCATTATGTACAGAGTTTGAAAAGCTCTCAGAGACACAGGCTGGCTGTAAAAGGACACTGGCCACACTCCAAGTATGGGTACACAGGGCAAAGAAAACACATCTTTGGTAGGAGAAGGTGTAGAACTGGTATTTGGACATGAGCTCTATGGGACTCAGATGTTTGTTAGCTGAGAAGCATGGGTTGTTTTTTGAACATTGAAGTATTATAGTTTTTGATTTGGGTAGCATTTCAGGAGTTTCACATACACAGTTACATATGTACCTATGTAAAATCCATTAATTTGCACACTTACAATCTATGTTCAATTTTTTTTTTTTTTTTGTGTACCAGTCATAGGGCTTGACCTCAGGGCCTAGACACTGTCCCTAAGTTTGTCTGTTCCAGGTTATTACTCTACCCCTTGAGCCACAGGTCCACTTCCATCCCATTTTGTGGTTAATGGTAGATAAGAGTCTCAAGGACTTTGTTGCCAGGGCTGTCTTTGAACCGTGATCCTCAGACCTTGGCCTTTTGGGTAGATCAGATTGCTAATATTGTCTCATGATCAGAATTCAAAATACCCCTTTCCACTTACAGATACTGATTCATATTATTTTAAAGTCTACAAAGGGAACAATTGTTAGTCAGACTATCACTAGCCAAGAGACATTTGTAAGTCAGAGACTTATCTGTACTTGCTTTTCATATCAGTTTTAGTACAATGGAGTCTCAAACCTATGTATCAAGGGGAAAATACCTAGTCCTAGGGAATTCAGATAGATGGCTGAGTATCTGCTGTATAACTTCTCTCTTTCTCTTTTCCTCTCTGTCTCTTTTTCTTTATCTCTGCCTTTCTATTTTCTATCTTTGCCTTTCTGTTTATTCCCTCTTATCACATTAAAAAAAAAACCAAAAAACTAGCTGAGTACTGGTAGTTCATTCCTGTAATTCTAGCTACTCAGCAAGCTGAGGATTGCAGTTGGCAACAAGCTGGTATAGAAAAGTCCCTAAGACTCTCATCTCCAGTTCAGCTAGATGTGCATCTTTGCTCAGGTGGCAGAGTGTCAGGATTAAACAAAACAGCTAAGTGACAGTGCCCAGGCTGTGAGTTCAAGTCCCAATCCTGTCGTGCACATACAAATAATTACTAACATACGATGGTGAAATGATAAATTTTAAAATCATGACTTCATAATTATTACTATTTTCAAAATGGATGAAAGCAGATGTTTCTCTCCAGCTACTTCATGAGCAAAGTAGTCAAAAAGAACTGAGAAACAACTTAGCCAATCCACATAATATACATATGCGTGCATTTATCTATAGTTTATACATTAGAGAAATGATATATTTGCTAAAAGAGGTGACAATTGAAAAGGATGGGGAACAATTACATGACACATTTGAATGCACAAGTTTGTCACCATACCTCGGGAGGCTTGCTATAAGCTCTAGGCCATCTAGCATTTAAGATTTAAAGTTAGTTAAACTTCCTGCTGACATGACCCATTCTGATGGATGTTGCCTTTTGCTTTTCTATCCATTTCAAAGTGAAACAGGACAGCTCTTTTTAAAACATAGTAATAACTAGTCTGCGGAATGTACTTGAGAAGCAGATGTCACCACAGAGAAAGGCTTTGTTTTTAGGAAAGCTGAAAGGAAGGAAGCAACCGTGAATGATTGACTTTCATAGTAAGGACCCAAACAAATGCCAGGGTGTTTTGTGGAAGTCATTGCAGAAACATTTTCCCATGATTAGTGTGAGTCCTTTGATGAGTGAGTTTTTAGTTGTAGCTATTTTCTATGATTAAACCCAACAGTAATATGTCAGTCAGTTTCAGGAGTACTGGCAACTTGCCAGAGCTCTTGAGAACTGGGTCAACTAGTAATCAAATCTAAGATATCCAAATGGCTTTGGAACCAGGCTCCTATCTTATTGAAAGGTTCTGTATTGGAAGCCTATAGGCTGAGAGCACAATATATCTGTACTGAAGTTCAGCAGCTTTGGAGCATGCCACCATTTTCTTTAAGGAGAGAGTGAGTTGGGTATGTAGCTCAGGTAGAATATTGCCTTAGCATGTGCAAAGTAAAAGAAAGTAAAAGAAGAAGGGAAAGAGGAAGGCAGAGAAGAAATATGGAATGGAAGGAGAAGGAAGAGGTGGAGGATTGGAAGGAAGGAGGAGGATTAGGAGAGAGAGGAGTAGGAAAAGGAAGCACAGGAAGAGAACAAAGAAGAGGAGAAAGCTGACTAGGAGGGAGGTGAGGAAGAAGAGCAGGCGTAGAAAAAGGAAAGAAAGAAGAGACAGGAGAGGATGATGGAATGTAAACATGACTAGGAAAGCAAATCTGCACAAATGTTCAAAATAATATCTGCAAGACTTTATGTCATATTTAAGTGACTTTTTAATGAACTCATGAGTTTACGGAATTCAATATAATTGTCACAAAATCAATTGAAACCACTTCATGGATTTGTCTATCTCTACAACATTTGTTTTCTTTCCATGATTTGATTGATGTTTATTGTCTTCTGCAATGAAATACAAATTTTAATATAAAAAACCAATTACAAAATCAATTCACATCTATGAATTCTGCATCAAAGTGTTATTTTGAGATTCTCCTAGACATTCCTTACTTCCACATAACCCCTGGTAACCACTTGTCTTCCATTGTTGTGGAAATCAAAAGAAAATCTAGGCACTGGTGGCACAAGCCTATTTAAAAAAATCCTAGCCGGGCTGGGAAGATGGCTCAGTGGTAGAGTGCTTGTTTTGCATGCATGTGGCCCTGGGTTCGTTTCTGCAGCACCACATGAGCAGAAAAAAAAGCCAGAAGTGGTGCTGTGGCTCAAGTGGTAGAGCACTAGCCTTGAGCTGAAGAGCTGAGGGACAGTGCCCAGGCCCAGAGTTCAGGCCCCACGACCGACCAAAAAAAAAAAAAAAGTCCTAGCTACTCAGGAGGTTGAGATTTAAGAATTGTGGTTCAAAGCCAACCTTGGAAGGAAAGTTCATGAGACTCATCTCCAGTTAATCACCAGAAAAGTGGAAGTGGAGCTATGGCTCAAAATGGTAGAGCACTAGCCTTGAGCAGAAGAGCTCAAGGACAGAGCCAAGCTCTTGAGTTTAAGCCCCATGAGCAACAAAAAAAAAAAAGAGAAAAGAAAAAAGAAAATCTTCCAATACTGTTAATTTGACTCTCTCAAAGCATAGTAAAATCTTTTTTTTTTTTTAATTTTTATTTTTTGGGTCCGGTCATGGGGACTGAACTCTGGGCCTGGGCGCTGTCCCTCAGCTCTTCAGCTCAAGGCTAGTGCTCTACCACTTGAGCCACAGCACCACTTCCGGCTTTTGCTTATGTGGTGCTGAGGAATCAAACCCAGGGCCTCAGGCATGCAAGGCAAGCACTCTACCACTGAGCCACCTTCCCAGCCCCAAAATCTTTAGACTATAGTCCAAACAACTAACAACAATGACAACAACAAATTCCTGTTGTAGCTGGGTGCCAGTGGCTCATGCCTGTTATCCTAGCTACTCAGGAGGCCGAGATGTGAGGATTGCAGTTTGAAGCCCTGGCAGAAAAGTCTGTAAGATCCTTATCTCCATTTAACCACCAAAAATCTGGAAGTGGAGGTATAGCTCAAGTGGTAGAGTACTAGCCTTGAGCAAAAGAAGCTTAGGGACAGCACCCCCCAGAGTTCAAGCCCCAGGACTGGCAAAAAATAAACAATAAAAAAACCCTGTTGTGACATTTATAAGATTATTTCTTTGTTGCTTTGTATGTCCCTCCCCCACAGTATAACCCCTATTTCACTGTATTTGATGTCGGTATAATTTGTGGAGGGGAAGGGGAAAAAACAAATCGTTTAAATAGGGATACAGGTGGACCCGTTGCAACAATGAGATGTATAAGACGTTTTCTCGAAAAGAAGTTTACAACTTTGTTGGGGGGGGGGGGGTGGGAGGGAGGATGGGAAGGGATTGGAAGGGGAAACAAAGGAGGAGGCTACAATGCTTGATAAGAAATGTACTCATTATCTTGCCCATGTAATTGTAACCCCTCTGTACAATATTTTCACAATAAAAAAAACAAAAAACAACAAAAACCCTGTTGTGGTAGAATTATAAGACTTGCAGACCTATCAATTGACTGTGGAAAGTGAAAAAAAGAGGAGGAGCTGGAACACAGCATGTGGAAATAGAGAAAAGAGCACTTGATTTCTTACCAGTAATGATTTTCTACTTTTCAAAGGTTTTATTTAATTCAGTCAATCCTAATGCTTCTGAGTGAAATCAGTCTGAATCTCTCTGCTGGCTGATAGGTGGGGTGTTGAGAGGATTTGTACCAGAATTTTCTCTAGTAGCAGGAACTAACTTAAAAGAGTTAGTTCTGTTTGTAGGATGTGTACACATCCCAAGTCAAGCATGTCTGAATGGCTTCTGATAATGTGTTGTGGGAACTAAGTACAATGCTGAGTACATGACTGTTGCCT